ACTGATTGCCAACTGATTAATTGTGGATCGCATGACTCAGGCATCCGCATACTCAAGGTCGAGAAGTCTTTCTACAGGCAACAGATCCACACCGCCATTACTTACATCCGTCAGAGCTGTTTTACAGAATGTCATCGATGGCAAAGTTGAAGAGGAATGGTGAGATTGGACAACCCTGTCTAATCCTACTGCTCGGATGGAACAATGGAGAGAGGTGGGTTGTATGCCCTCACTCTGCCTGAGGTGTTTGTATATGGGACCTTTAGGATGTTAACAAACTTCTCAGGCACACCCTTCCTCACTAGACAATCCCAGAGAACAGTCCTGTCCAACGAATCGAAGGCAGCCCTAATGTCAAGAAACACTACGATTGTTGGCCTTTGATAAGTATGACGGTGTTCTAACATTTGGTGGAGGGTGAATATGTAGTCAATATATTCTCGACCGGAACGAAAACCAACCTGCTCCTCGCGAGTCAATGTTTCTCGGGTTTTGAACAACCTATGAAGTGTGAAGGGAGTCAATAGCTTGGATGCAATCGGAAGTAGACTTATCCCCCGATAGTTGTTACAGGAACGACATGAACTCTTCCTAAAGATAGGGACAACTATCAACTCATTCCATGACGTTGATACACTCTCTAGCTCCCAGACCTTTGTAAACAACATCGTCAGTTTTTAGCCAGAAAGTCACTACCATCTTTAAAAAGGACCAGAAGTAAGTCATCTGGGCCCGGTGATTTGTAGCGCTTCAAGAGTTCCTTGAGAACTTCCGCTTCATTTGGTGGATCAGTCGTTACAGGCCATGGAGTGCAGGACAGTCCGATCGATGTTGCCGGAGCAGCAGGCCAGTTGAAATGCGCTTCGAAGAGTTCTGCCCATTGTCCAAGACGTCGATGAATGTTAGTGATCGATGCAATAATTAGTCCAGTGTATAAGGTCGAGAACAGAAAGTTAGTTGGTAACCACTGACCCGTTAGTCTAATGAGTGCAATTGTAAAACTAATGGAAAAGATTATTCAGATGGCTGTTATAAACCATGTGAAACGGTATAATCTTTTATCCAGGGAACAACATGGTTCTCGGGAAGGCCCGTTATGTTTGACAAATCTGCTCATTGCAAGAGAAGATTGGGCTGTGGTAGAAGATCGAAATATTCCTAGAGATGTTATTTCCTTAGATCTCAGTAAAGCATTTGATAGGATCTCCCATCCAGGTCTTAAATTAAAGCTGGAAAGTTCTGGATAAGCGACTTTCTCAATGACAGGAGACAAAAAATAAGGGTAAATGGAGCTCTTTCTCGTTGTGGGAACCTGTAAAAAGTGGAGTTCCCAAAGACACAATCCTCGGTCCCCTTTTCGCTTCAATTTATGTAAATGAATTACCAACTGTAGCAAAGCCATCCGTTCTACTCTTCGCCGATGACTAAGATTTGGAGACCCATAAACAGTATGTCAGATAGAAGAGTATTACAAGATGATCTCAACCCATAGCTGGCATGGATGGACGGATAGTCACTAGAAGTGAATCCCAACAAGAGTACGGTGATGCAATTAAATAACTGTGATTATTCGTATCAATACACAATACGTGGATTCGTATTACCCAAAGTAAACTATAGACTTAGGAGCCATTATAAGCAGCCATCTCAAAGTCAGTCAGTCAGTCAGCTACAACGTAGGACCAGGTACATATGTGCATCGGTCCAGGTTGCCATACCGCATCAACACAACAAGATGAACACCAGATTCATAACAGTGGTTAGGTATAAGGTGGTAATATATAAGAGAAAGATTGCATATAGAGATATAGTACAAGCAGAAAGAATTGGTTCGCAGAAAGAAAGATATGATGCGATTTTAATCTCATAGTTTAAGTGAAGACAGGGAGTGTATACACCGACGCCATTGTGATCGATTCTGAGCCATGTCACCAAGAGTCTCCAACCATTGGTTACGATAGTCACGCGGACCCCAACCAAGTAGTCTGCGTCTACCAACATGGCTCAGACTAGAAGTTAGTGACTTCAAGCACTGGTGCCACGTTTTGGTTTGGCCGCCCCTAACTTTCTTCCAACCATTTCCAATATCGGATAGCATTGCACGTCGTGGTAATCGGTGTTCAGGCATACGTAACACGTGGCCCAACCATCTCAGTCGATGAAGATTCATAACCTCATCAACTGATTTACCATCCTTTCCTAATACCCTGCGTCTAACCTCACTATTACTTACCCGGTTATCCCAGCAGACGCCAGCAATATTTCTTAGGCATCTGTGGTCAAATACTAATAGCTTACGAGTGTCTTCTACTCTTAATGGCCATGTTTCGCTACCGTAAATTAAAACAGAACGGACTGCCGCGCAGTATACTCGTCCTTTTATTGATAGACGGATATCTCGCCTTCGCCACAGGTGACGTAAGTTGGCAAAAGCCAAACGAGCTTTTCGAATCCGTGCTGAGATTTCGTCCGATACCAACCCATTAGGGCTGATCAGACTTCCAAGATAAGTGAAGTTGTCAACGCGTTCGACTACTTCACTCCCTATCCTTAGTTCAGGTGTTAACGCAGACCAGTCCTGAAGCAACAACTTGCATTTAGAGGGAGAGAAGCGCATTCCAAACATCCTGGCATTGTTGTTCAGTGCTACCAGAAGACTCTGCATTTTGTCAGCGTCTTCACCAAACAGGACTATGTCATCTGCGTATTCTAAGCCGATAAGTGGATCTCCTGGTAGGAGATCAATACCCGAGAACTCAGTCGACGAGAAAGTTATTTCCATCAGTAGATCTATGATGAAGTTAAACAAAAATGGGGAAAGTGGACATCCTTGACGGACACCACTTGAGGTTGCAAAACTAGATGACAGTTCGCCATAAGCTCTCACTCGACTAGTAGTGTTCGAGTAAAGAGCCTTTACAAGGTTTATGTACTTCTGGGGTACGCCTTTCAATGACAGACACTGCCACAGAATCTCGCGGTCTACCGAGTCAAATGCTGCTTTTAAGTCAAGAAAGGCCATCTCAAAACTACTAGTAACTGTAAGGTTGATACTGCAAAAGGCTATAGGGTATTATGGGTTATTCGTAGGTCTTTTCAGTATGTGAATGAAGAAATGTTTTGATTATTATACCCAACTGTCATGAGACCATACTTGGAATATGGGAATCAAGCAGCGAGTCCTTGTTTCAAGTATGAGGCGGATATGCTGGAACGAGTCTCTCTGGCCTATCTTATTAAGACAGACTAAGATACCTCAACTTATTTCCGTTATCTTACCATAGAATACGAGGTGACCTAATATTAACTTATCGTATACTGAACGAGGATCTTGGTATTAATGTCTCATCTTTTCCTCCCGACCAGGACTGATCGTTTGAGAAGACATTCGAAGTTCACAGAGATCGAATCGTCTACCTCTGAAGTTTCGTTTCTCGCACCAAGGGCGAGACTCTAATTTGGGGACGAGCCAATCAGAAGCGTTTGAGCAATTTCAAGGTCACTGAGGCAAGTTCAACACGCGATGCTAACATACGATCGGTTCACAGCGGGTTTTAGAGAGTAGGTAAATAATGAGAGGTTACAACAGATGGGACGGCGAGACTCTAATTTAGGGACGAGCCAATCAGAAGCGTTTGAGCAATTTCAAGGTCACTGAGGCAAGTTCAACACGCGATGCTAACATACGATCGGTTCACAGCGGGTTTTAGAGAGTAGGTAAATAATGAGAGGTTACAACAGATGGGACGGCGAGACTCTAATTTAGGGACGAGCCAATCAGAAGCGTTTGAGCAATTTCAAGGTCACTGAGGCAAGTTCAACACGCGATGCTAACATACGATCGGTTCACAGCGGGTTTTAGAGAGTAGGTAAATAATGAGAGGTTACAACAGATGGGACGGCGAGACTCTAATTTAGGGACGAGCCAATCAGAAGCGTTTGAGCAATTTCAAGGTCACTGAGGCAAGTTCAACACGCGATGCTAACATACGATCGGTTCACAGCGGGTTTTAGAGAGTAGGTAAATAATGAGAGGTTACAACAGATGGGACGACGAGACTCTAATTTAGGGACGAGCCAATCAGAAGCGTTTGAGCAATTTCAATTAGCCAATTAGAAGACAATATAAAGTAAGAATATATTACAAGAAAGTAATGAATTACAGTAGATATTCTTCTTTTACCTGATTTAAAAACTTGTTAAGGTTTGATAAAGGCTCAGAAGTTCTGAATTCATAATGCATATGGTATAGAAACTCGTCCATAGGGTTAGGGTTTAGAGTTAGAGGCTAGGGCTAGGTTTAAGATTAGGGTTAAGGTTAGAGTTAGGTTAAAGTTAAGGTTAGGATTGGGGTGCTAACATGCGATCGGTTTACGTCGGATTTTATAGAAGAGGTGTTTATTGACATGCTACAAATAAAAAAAAGAATACCCACTGTAATTCATTACTTACAATATATTTTCACTTTATAGTTAGTCTCCTGATTGGCTAATAATTGTCAATGTCATTTAAGATTCGTTCAAAGGTCATCCTTAAATTAGAGTCTCGCCGCACCAAGTAGTGAATTACTGGGATTCGCTACCAGAACACGTAATATCAGCATCTTCTGTCGATATGTTCAAGACGAAATTGGACCTCTACAGGGCTAAGAACTTTAAAGCTTAATATAGGTCGATAGACCTATCCTTATTACTGAAAACCAAATTCTTATTATTTGGACATTGTTTAATTAAATATGAGGCATACTCTATTCAATCAGATGAGTAGAATTAAACTAGCTACTCTGATCTTCAAAATATATGATTCGGGATTCAGTAGTGCTCTCATGAAGGTATAACAACATTGAACTGACAATTGTTTCTTCACTTATTCGGTGAAACGGGAACGAAACTTCAACCTCATAGTAGTTTAGATCACTTACTGTGAATGCAAAGACTATTTACAAGAAACTCATAACTATGTAATTTCTAATTCAATTTATGGAAAAACCTGAGACTTACCGCACGCTCTGTCTAACTTGAAATAATTAAATGGTATCTGTTAGTTTGACAGATTAACCTGTTAATTTTGCAAATATTTGATCTGTGGACGACGGTGATAGCCACAGAACAAAACTTAAAAGTTTATTCATAAGGTGGATTTCACTACTTCGCAACCCAATACATCTACCAAAATGGTATCAAATCACACGTCCTCGCCATACATAGTAGCGACTAATCTGGTCAGCGCGCTAATGGCGGAATATAAATGTCTCGTCATCGGTGTACACCATAATAAGTGCCATATTTCAATCTGCATTCTGGTCTATTTAATTTACAGTTTCCTCGAAACTTTTGGTGTTTTAACTGATCAAAAGAAGCCTAATATTCACTGGGAACTACCTAGCTTTTGATCACTTAAAGGTGACTATACTGTAAAACAACCAGCTTAGCCAGAATAATTGACAGAATTTATTACGGAGGTTGGTTAGGCAAAACTTTAGATTTTCATGGACGATAACGTGAGTGTTGTGCAAAAAGTGTTACGTTAAAGGAATGAACAGTAACTGAATAACATCACATGACAATTCGGACAAAATTCGAAGTATTTTTTGACTGCCGAAATTGTCGGTTTTCGCTTGTAATGCTCTGGCCAGATAATTCGTCAAACTGGACCGTTTTGTACGTTAAATGACAGATCACTGGACGTAGAACTTCGCCGAATATCTTTCCAGTTAAGGATGACTAAACTGGAACTATAAACGGATTACATGGAACCCATGTAAACAGCAGTCGGTAGTTGTTTTAAGCATCACTTCTCCATCCTCCACTAATCCAAATAAATCAATTGCATAGCAAGAATTTGTTTGTTCACTGAAAGTACTGAAAAAAAACAGAGTTGCCGAGTCACCAGTGTAGGTTGACCTGAACCTGTTAGATAAAAAATTGTATTAGTTTGACATAGTTTGAGAGGTCCTTCCATTCCTGTTCAACCCTTGTAGTTTGTACACTTACACGCCTAAAGACCTTATATATCTAGCAGCATCAGGCCATGTCTCTCGTTAGGGACCCAGATATATATGTAAACAAGGAAAATCCAGAAAATCGGTTTGCGATACTATTGTATCACCTAATAACTTCCCAAAATATTCAGCTCAAAAGCCATTCCTAGCTGGTGACATTCCTGTTGAGTTTATCCGGTTTGACTAATTAGATGACTTTTTGAAACCCACATGAGATCTCACTCTCTGTACCTCTCCCTAGAAATGAACGTGATCGGAACCTGTTATGAAACAGAATGGACTGTTCATTTGCTTATCAGCAAGTACCAATTTCAATGTGTTCTTTTTAAGAGTCAGTTTTACAGTCGAACAGAACTTTCAGCAAGTATTTTATGAGCGCTTTGAGCTACGTATGAATGACATAAAAGAAGTTTGAATCATCTAAGTCAGAAATTCTTTACTTTAAGTGAAGTTTAATGTAGTAACTGAATTTAGTTCACCGACTTCATTCGTTTATATCTTCATCTGGAGCCTCTGAGTTCACTTTGCTCTTAATTTTCGCTTTTGTTTCCTGATCAAGCCTAACTCATAATCCTAACGGTGTGATTCATTTTTCCCTATAATTTGTCATAAGAAATGATATTTTGATAATTTTGTAACAAAATTATTTTAGGCTTGTTATGATGCGATTTTTCAGGCAGTTATCAAACTCTCTGAGAATTGATTTTGATGACATCAGGAGAATTCGGGTATGAAGTAGTGGACACTTGTCCGACCCTTGCTGAAGTTATATCAGACCTAAGTCACCAGACCTGTAGAAATGTCGTAAATATGCGAAGAAATCAAAATACTCGGCTACTTCAACATAACAAGCACTCTTACAAATTTATATACAAGTGCATGAATAAATTACCACTAGATGACGTAACATTGGCTTTCATCGCCGCCCAATAATTTTTCAGTTGATCTTAATAATCTTACGGTAAAAGTCCTTATATATGGTTTTTAGAATGCTGTTTTGAAAATGAGATTTTAAAAACGCTACACTGTTTACTTAGTCGACGTGAAGCAGACATCAAATTAACGACCTAATATTTGGTGGCGCAGCAGTCATTTGAATTAAATAAATTGATTTCCTGAGCAAACTGACTTCTCTCATACTAATCACCTCTGACATAATTTTTCGGAATATTTGTAACGGAAAGAGAACAACGAAAATCCCTTCACAGTCCTTTTTTGGACAGTACTGTCAATTATTAGTTTATTCTCCCTGTCGTGTATTTTAACCCTTGTTCAGATCTCGTTTAAGCACACCTTTCGTTCTTCAGTCTTTCTCGTTTGAGCTTTTATTGTGTAATTTTGATCAAAGACTTTGCTTTGGTAACCTAATTTTCTATTGCATGTTGCCGGACTATTGACATTAAGGTGGTGTTTGACTAAGCTCAAGGTCGCGGCGGGATCCAGTGTGTGACAGTTAACCTTTTAAATGTCTGCTTGAGAGGATTGCTGGAATCCCTGGAATCCCATCTTGTTCGGAATATTTTTATTGATTCTCAGGTATTGAACCCTTTGGTATATACTGTTTCTTTTATTGTTTAGCGCGTTACTTTGCGTTAGGGAAACTTTTGACTGTATAGCACAGTCTGTAACGTTTGAGGTATTTTGTATTTTTGACATAATTTGTTCTGTTTCCTAAATTAGGACCGCTTAAACTGAGCACGGAATTTGTGTTTTGATATAATATAATACGAGTGTCTCAAAAACGTTGTAAGCTATACAGGGGAACGTAGTCTGGCCTATTCGAATAAATTTTGGTTCGTCAGTCCTGCGTTCAAACCGAATACTGGCAGTTTGGTCGTTACAATATTCATCACAACATTTTATTGTGGTTTTATTTAGTGTATAGCTTTCATCTCAAAATTAATATATGTGCTCACATTTAAATCCTGCACGTACCCCATTAAACATCGACTCATTGTCCATTAAATGAACACCTCACTCGACATGACTGCTGACATTGGCAAGAATTCAAGGAGAAAGTCTAGTTTATAAACGTATATAGATGGGGTTAAATTCAACGCTCCAACCATGAATCCAAACGACTGCTGCGTGAGCAGCGAAGTTTTATTGCTCTTCAGTCAAACAGCTAAAAATATCTATGGAATAAATTGAACTGTTTCTATTATAAAATGCTTTTCTAGAAACATAACCCATATAAGGCGAAACATTAAAAAAGTCTCGTCTCTGAAATAATAATAATAATAATAATTTATTCTCAAATAACAGTTTGTTACATGAGGCATGTCAGTTTACAGGCAAGCTCAAATTGATACAAATGATACAACATTCACTGATATCACTGATTATCATGATGCATGTGCTATATTTAATATTGCCATCAAATGTGTGTTGTGAACATTATCAAGATTACACCCAAACATCGTATGCTGGTGGACTAGACAACATTTATTGCCATAATTCTCCAGAAGTTTATGATTTCCAAGGGTTGAAATCGATCAGAGAAGCTTGTTTCAAACACAGATCAAGTTAAATGACCTGTAAACACGTGATGAAGCAGAGGAATTGATGTAGTTTGACAAGCAAGACATCTTTACATGCGAATAAGTCATCGAGTAATCTGTAACAGCATAGATTGGTTGGTTAAGAGTTGACCCCAAACAACCAAGCATATGTCAAAACAGTATTGTTCAAGTATTCATTCACTTCCTTATTTTGTATAAGCGTTATATTCCTTGTTATCTTATATTGAATGTTGAAAGCTTTTGTTTGTCTGAACAAATAATCCCACGCTCCACTGTGACTGCGCTAAGATCGAAATAAAGACTAATTCACTTTTTGTCTGACTTCTATCAATAACACGAGGGTTACCTATAGGCACGAAACTGGTGAGCCCTTTTTGAACACAAATTAACCTCATTTTTGTTATTAATATTATTTTTTTTACTCAATCGTAAAAGTAGACCTGATAATCCGTAAACTAAGTTGGGTATATAAATAGTTTATGTTTTTTTGATTATCTTAAGTTATTCGTGTCATAGAAACCTTTTTTTTCTCGTGCTAATTTTATTGCTATATTTGTCACATACCTCATGTCAGACTTAAAAGAAACCCATAATCTGGAGGATTTGTCACCAGTGGAGATAGACACTGTTATGACTACGAAATCTCGACTTCCAGAATTTGATCGTAGTGATCCTGAGTTGTGGTTTGCTCAACTAGAGCATTATTTCACGAGACACAATATCAAATCTGAAGGGATTCGCTATAGAGATTTGTGTTCTATCCTTCCTCCTTCAGTCGCCAAAGAAGTCCGTGACTTGATTTTAGATCCACCATCACCACAACCGTACACCATCTTAAGACGAGAGATAATGAACCGTTTATCATTATCAGATAGTCAAAGAATCCAAAGACTTTTTCAAGGTGAAACACTAGGTGATCGGTCGCCATCACAGTTTCTACGTCACCTCCAAGTCTTAGTGGGTGATAACACAGTGGGTGAAGCAGTCCTAAAACAAGGATGGATACAAGCTCTCCCATGCTACGTCCAACACTGTTTGGATGCACAAGATCCTGAAACCTCATTATCTCATTTAGCGCGTATAGCTGATAGAATAATGGAAAGAGGTCTTCCAACTGGATCAGACACAATAAATCACACACAGAAAGTAGAATCAGCAAAAGACCCCGTCATAGAAGGACTCATTGCGAGTGTTAAGAGTCTCACTGAGGCTATCATCAGAATGCAAATGGGTCATACAAACAGAAGCAGGTCACCACAACGATCACGATCCAAGTCACAAAATAGGTCACAAATGTCCAGACAATCTGGGCAGTTTTGTTGGTACCACTGGAAGTTTGGTGTCAACTCAACCAAGTGCAGGCAACCATGCGCCTAGCCTAAGCATAATTCCAAGACAGCGGGAAACGAGTAACCCCTCCCCAGGTCGCGACAACTGAGGAGGGGCGCCTAAACAGTCGCTTGTTTTATGTCAGAGAAAGAAAATCGGGCTTGAATTTCTTGGTGGATACTGGCGCTGCTCTTAGCATCATCCCTCGAAATAAAACTGAGATTAGTGGAGAAACATCCCCGATTACACTTCAAGCTGCAAATAAAACTACAATCGCGACATTTGGGCAGAAAACGTTAACCCTAGATTTGGGGTTCAGAAGGCAATTCCCTTGGGTTTTCACGGTAGCCGACTTAGATCTGGAAATA